TAAATACTGTTTAATAGAATCAATTCATTTGGTATATAATAAATAAGCATATTATGAGCTCATTTGGAGGAATCCATGTGCTGTGCTTATAATTTGAACAAAACCATAGCAGTAAAGTTCATGCCTCCAGTGCCAGGGTAAAACCTTAGTAATTACCATAAGTCATCACTTACAGTCTGCCTACCCTGTGCAAAACTCGGATATAGAGACTGTAGCAGCAAAAGAAGTGTGAGCCATCATCCTTCCTATCTCTTGATTTAGTTGTAGAGATGTCAACTCACACAAGATAAGGTAATGAAACAAATCCAAACAGCATGTACTTAATAGCAAGGGTATGGTAATAATGAGGGTAACATTAACACATAAACACCGGCATTTTTTTTCACCTCTACCGCTAAACAGAAGCATTGTAAAGACTGGTTTTGGAATGGATTGGGAAAGTTTGGTTAGGAAATGACTTGAAAAGAAATGAAGATAAAGGCAAGGCCGGGAATAGACAGGAATAACAAGAAGAAAAGTAAAGACAATTAGGAGAACAAAATGAATTCAAGGTATATTTTGATGACCAATTTGGCTTCCTACTGGTTTTCTTTCTATTCAAAGATAGAGAAATGAAGTGAGAAATAGAAATAAGGCCCAGATTTTGAGACCATTTGATTGTAGGTAAGAGAAAGGGTGAGTAAAATAGCATCCATCCTCAAAACCATACCCAAAGGCAACTTTTCATCTTGTCTCTGTCTCTCTGCAGGTCTTTTCTCCTCCTCACAGTCTTAGTCTTGTGTGGTGTTCTTTGCTCTATTCTGCTTTGTTTTATAGCTACTGCATACCTTGAAACCAGTAATCAAGTGTATATATTTTGGACACGTTTCTGAGCAATTCCAAAAGATCATAACATCAAGGTAAACCACAGAGTAAATTTTTTTTTCCAATCGTGGGGCTTGAACTCTGAGCTTGGGCTCTGTCCCTCAGCTCTTCAGCTCAAGACAAGTGCTCTACCGCTTGAGCCACAATGCCACTTCTGAATTTTTCTGTTTATGTGGTGCTGAGGAATCCAACCCAGGGTCTCATGCATGCAAGGCAAACACTCTGCAACTGAGTCACCTTCCCAATCCTAGTTCACCCTTTGTCCCACTATTTCTGTGCTTCCCCTTCATTCCCCAAATCAAATAAAGTGTACAGACAAAGTGTACAGAAATAAAAAGCAGTGACAAAAGGGAATAAACTGAAGGAATAAACTGCAAACAGTACAATAAAAAAACCTCTTCTTCACATTTCTTGGAGTTGATTTTGATAAGCATCATTTCATGTGATCATATGCACATAGTTAATTAGTCCATGTGATCCACTCCTAAAAATATGCTACAGGATAAAAATTTATCATCTTTACTTGAAATAGAACTTAGGAGTGAAAGGTACTACAGGGCAAACCAAGACCACATATTCTACCATCTCTTTCCTCATAACCCAAACTTTCTGTTCTCACATATAATTCCATCAGCAGCTTTCCCTGGGATGTGATATCTAGCTGATGCAATTGACTTAGTTCTGCATCACCTTTCTCTCAACATCCATTATGGAGTCATTTAGTTATTTATACAAATGAATTGAGTACCTACTCTGTACTTAAAACAAGTTGTGAAATCTAAAGAAGACAGAAGCAAGCCCTCATACAAATATTGCACAAATGTACAGAGATCACATCATACAGAAAAAGAGAATTATAACCTATAACCTGCCCTGTAGACGATGTCGTCTCTATACAACAAACTCTGGGAGTCAGCCTGCCATAAGTCAGACTTGTAGGAAGTCAGATTGCTATCTCTAGTAATATTATAGGAATAATAATCAATGTCAAATGGTCAGGTCTTTAATTTTTGTTTCTAATGTGTGTGTGTGTGTGTGTGTGTGTGTGTGTGTGTGTGTGTGTGTGTATACGCCAGTACCAGAGTTTAAACTCAGGGTCTGGGTCCCTAAGCTTTTTCACTCAAGGCTGATACTATACTACTTGAGCCATAGCTCCACTTCTGGTGTTTTTGTGGTCAATTAGAGAAGTCTTATAGACTTTCCTGCTTGGGCTGGCTTTGAACCACAATCCACTGATCTCTGCCTCCTGGGTAGGTAGGATTACAAGCATGAGCCACCAGCACTTGGCTGTTCTCCACTTCTTAAAGCTAACCAGAAAAAGCCAAGTATGTTCCCCTATCTATTCTCAGAGGATGCCTTGATTCCAATTAACCTGCCCACAGCTTCTCTATGCCTCCAATCAATTGAACTCCTTCTTTTTCCATTGTAAACTTTTCTTACTCCTTTTCATCCTTTGACTTCTCTGCTCAAATTCATGGCTGACTCTTTTATTATAACAAGTTCTGGATAAATAGCCTTTCCTTTTCTCATTTGGTTGGTCTTTGTTTCTTTTCCTCACCAAATGCAAGAATCACTCTTGGCTTTCAGGCACTGTAGCAGAGATGGGCTGCAAATCCTAAGAAATAGAAAAATGCTATAGTAACTCTAGGATTCACACACCTAAATCCAGAGATCTTTTTCAGATTCTTAGCCAAGGAAGCTTTGGTGACTTGAGTATTGTATGAATGACTGTTAGAGAAGGACAATAACTTTATTCCTTTAATTTTACTGTTGTTGTTATGGCCAAGGTCCCTGAACTTGGAGAGTTTATGGTCTCTGTTAAACTTGCCAGTGTTGATTTTAGTTGTTGTACAAGATTAGAGTTGGAATAAAATATTTATTATCTCACTCAATTAAAAAAAAGCTATCTAGTTAGGAACTAAAAACACAGGAGGCTAAGAGCGTAATTATCATCTTCACAGTTATCAGCTTTGCTTTTCCTCATCTGGTCTTGCTTCTTCCACTTGTTTATTCTCTAGCAGGAACCGAGGCAACCTGATCCTCATAGCTCTCACCTGCCATAGGACTCGTCATCATGCCTCACAGAATGCTCTCCGGCATTTGACATGTGGGAGCAGAAATGATGGAGAGCAAATGCATGCCGGTGACCTGGGAACACTGCAGTCAAGCTTCCAGGCTCATGGTGAGGAAGCTGAATCCAGGTCTGAATATAGATCTGTGAAGCACAGGCCCTGATTTGGAAAGGCTGATATATTCCTTCTATTAAGGAAGCCATTTTAGGCTTAATGAACCACACGTTTTCTGTTGTTGTTATTCAATTGTATCCTTGAACACAGCTATAGGAAATATGTAAATGTGTAAAACTACTGATGGACACTAAAATTTGAATTTCATCTAATTCTTTATGCCCTGAAAATTTCTTCTTATTTTCATGCTTTTCAAACTTAAGATTATTAAGGCTATTCTTAGGTTATAAGCCATGCAAAAGCAAGCAATGAGAATGAGCCAAAGAAAGCCCAGGGGCCTTAAAGTTTGTAGACACCCAAACCAACCCAAACCAACAAAAAAATAATCTCAGTATGTGGTAGCCAAACAGAAGAACGAGATGAAACATTTATGGATTTGTCTCAAAAGAAGTATTTCTGAGAGGGCCAAGTATGTTATCAAAGGAGACACAAACAACCCGAGATGTAATTCTGGAAATATTGGAATGAGAGTCCCTGGACTGGTGGGAGTTGAGGTGTGTTTGATAAAGGAGTGAGGTGAGAAGAAAGCTATCCCTGGAGAGGGTTGTTTTGTCATGGAGGGACTCTTGGTTGAGGGAATGGATTGTGTTTCTGATCATGGAGGAGTAATTCAGTTTGGGTCTAGTGTATAATCAGAACAAAGACAAAAAACCAGGCAAAGGTTTAACATTATTAGTGGTGCCAGACTTTGCAGGGGTGGAGATGGTGCTGATTACAGGTTAAGGCTTCTAGTTAGACTGCCTGGGCTGCAATCTCACCAATGGCATTTTTCCATTTAGTGACCCTGGGCAAGTGGGTAAGCAATGAAGACTGAAATGCTTCCAGAATTATTGGAATCACTGGTATGAAATCAAAGCCGTGTAAAATGCTTAACATCCACATCAGACAGATTTTACTACTCCACTGCTTTTGTTACCATACTTATATTCCTCAGAAGATAAAAGAGTTTTGTTTGTTTTTCTTAAGCTGTTGTTTATGCCAAGACTTCCCAAAGCATCCATCAATGGAAAAGATCAACTGATAATGGACACTCCAAGATTCCTAGTCTCCTCTCAAAAATCCTTTCTTGTCTAGCCAAGTAAACTATGTCATGATCTTTACCCAAGCCTAATTAAGCTCTTGTTGAAAGATCTATCTTAAATCAGACTTAAGAATCCCAAAGAATATTCCAACTTTGCCCTTTCCCCTGAGGTAGTACTGTTGCTCTAAAGGCAGTGTTCTCCCTTACAGCAGTAAACAAGTATTTAGCGTTGTCTTATTAAGACTGTTTAGGTAAAGCCTTTGAGGATGAGTATTTATAAAGCTCTCATCTTTATCATCTAGTCCTGACCCTAAATACTTTATAAATTTAAACATATAGAACACCGCATTATTTACAATGGGCAAAAGGTTGAAGTAACTCTTCCAGGTATGATGGTACACACCTCTAGTATAAACATGTGGAAGGCCAAGGCAAGAGAATCATAGTTCTAAGCCAGCCTTGCACTACAGAGCAAGACCTTTTCTCCAAAGGGGAAAAATAATGGAAGTATTTCAATGAATGAATGAATGAATAGACAAAGTATGGTGTTTATACATCCAAGTTTTGACATGTGACAACATGGCTGAACCTTGAAGATCTTATGCTAAAGAACATGAACCAGTCACTAAAGGACAAACACTGTATGGTTCCAGTTATAAGGAGTACCCAGAATAGTCAACTACAGATGGGAAAGTTAAATGGTTGTTGCCAAGCCTATGTAGAGATAATATGGAGGGTTGTTTTTTAAAATCTGGAGTTTAAACATTGCATGGTAAAGAAAAATCTGGTGGTTTTGGTTGTACAACATTGTGAATGTATTTCCTGCTTCTGAATTGTATTGAATAGTAAACTTAAAAATTGTTACAGTGGTGCTCGCTTCGGCAGCACATATACTAAAACCGGATACAGAGAAGATTAGCATGGCCCGTGCGCAAGGATGACATGCAAATTCGTGAAGTGTTCCATATTTTTTTATGCCTCCATCAGAAAGAATGACATCGCCCCATTTGTTAGGAAATGGAAAGACTTGGAAAAAATTATATTAAGTGAAGTAAGCCAGGCCCAAAGAAACATAGGTCCCATGGTTTCCCTTATTTGCAATAACTAGTATATGTCTGAGTCAAGCAGAAAAAGTCAGATAAGTTGATGTTAGGGAAATGAACCCTAAGATATGTATTCAAATGTTTTTTTCTTTCATGCGATTGTTTTTAACACATTTATAAGATTATTTCTTTGTTGCTTTGTATGTCCCTCCCCCACGGCATAACCCCTGCTTTCACTGTATTTGATGTTGGTGTAATTTGTGGAGGGGAAGGGAGAAAACAAATTGTTTAACTAGGGATACAGGTGAACCTATTACAACAATGAGATATACAAGTCGTATGTCGAAAAACGAACTTTACAACTTTGGTGGGTGGTGGGGAGGAGGATTGGGTGGAAGAGGAGGGGAGGATGGGAAAGGATGGAAAGGGGAAACATAGGAGGAGGCTACAATGCTTGATAAGAAATGTACTCATTATCTTGCCCATGTAATTGTAATCCCTCTGTACAGTATTTTCACAATAAAAAAATGAAACTAAAAAATACATAACTACCTAAAATAGGGCTTTTCAACTCAAATTCTAATTTGGCATGTTATTTCTGCTAATCCTATTACTTCAGTCACCCTGGACATTTCAGAATAATCTTTTCCTTTTTGTTATTGACATCCAATATGACATATAAAACAAAAATAAATGCTATTTTTCTATCTTTATAAAAATTGTTACAGTGGTTCATGATATGTTGTATATATTTTTGTATATATATTTTGTATATTTCTTTGTTTCTCTTTCTAACTAGATATCCTAAAGGGCATAAGGATTCCCCACTGTTGCCTTCATATATACATGTCCCTTAACCCTAATTCTTCTTGCTTATTAAAAAAATAAAATCTAGATTTTCCAATAACAATGGCTCTTAATCTCCTAAACTAGCTTTCCTACAGCAAATACCTTTCCTATTAAATATAGAAGATAAAATATTCATCATTCCACCCAATAGAATAAGTTTCTTTGAAGCCATCTAGTTCTATTTATTTTCTACTAAAAGTTTATAGTAAGGTTGATTTTCTTCTACTGTTTGTGTGTGCTCATGTGTTTGTATGCATGTGGGAGAAAGAAAGAAAGAAAGGCCAAAGATCAGACACAGACTGAGACAGAGAGACAGATAAATGGAAAGCATTGATGGGGTCTGTAATATCAGTACCACATGGGGTCCCAGAACACATCTGTGGAGTGTTAATCTTTGTCCAATTGGGTGATGTGATTTAGTACGTCTTTAGGGAAAGCCAGCAATGATATCTAGGACCTTGGGTCTCAATACTGAGTTCTACTAAGTTGTACCCAGGGGTCAAAGTATTTTCACATATATTCTTTCTAGGCAGAATAGATCAGAAAGTATTATGGCCCTGATGTCAGGTGGCAGCTGGATGGAAGGAGGCAGGAAAGATAGAAGCAGAAGAATGCTTCAAGCAGAAACCATCTCAGGTTGCTTTCCTTGGAGAGCTGTAAAAAAATTAAGTCTTCTATGTTGGGATTTTGGAGAGATGTGCAGACACACTTGGCTAGGTGTCAGACTGAAGATAAAGGATCACATCATTGTATATCGGGAAAAGCCAGTATCTCAGTTAAAATGATCTTTCTGATTGCCCTAGTGATCTTAAGTCAGACACTGGTGAGGAGACTATAACTCAATACAGCTAGTTGGTGCTACATAAGAACAAATCAGAATCCCACAAAACTTTTGGTATTGGGAACACACTAACTGGCTTTAGCACTGGACTGTTTCAGGAGCTGTTTAAGACAAGACTCTGTAATGCTTATTTAGAGACAGGTCACAAGGCCTTCACTGTGTCCTATGTTTGTGAAAGCCAAAGAATTACTTTTGGTCAAAAACATGATCCAATTTAAAAAAGTCGTATATTTTTTAAAAAAAAACGAATCCTAGCTTTAGTACATTTAAGTGAGAAAGAAATAAAAAAGAAAATGTATGGAGGTCTAGCATTACGGATTTATTTTAGACATAGACTCATTGCAAAAATTTTAATGGTCAAATCTGACATATTCAATTATCTAAAAAGTAACTTAGGAAGTAAACAATGTGTTGGTAATGACAGATGGGTGAGGTGGTAGAGAATCATGCTGAAGGCTGGTGCATCACTAAGTAAATGAAAAGCTTCAAGATCAAATCATATGATCATGAATCTCTTGCATAGAAATCCAGAGGGTTGTTTTTTTACATTTTTTTATTGTGAAAATACTGTACAGAGGGGTTACAATTACATGGGCAAGATAATAAGTACATTTCTTGTCAAGCATTGTAGCCTCCTCCTTTGTTTCCTCTTTCCACCCCTTCCCATCCTTCCCCTGCCCCCCAACCTGATCCTCCTCACCCCCCCACCAAAGTTGAAAAGTTCGTTTTTGACATAACGACTTGTACATCTCATTGTTGCAATGGGTCCACCTGTGTCCCTAGTTAAACCATTTGTTTTTTCTCTTCCCCTCCACGAATTATACCAACATCAAATACAGTGAAAGCAGGGGTTATACCGTGGGGGAGGGACATACAAAGCAACATAGAAATCATCTTACAAATATGTTAGAAACAATTGCATGAAAGGAAAAAAAAAACATTCGAATACTTAACTTGGAGTTCATTCCCCTAACATCACCTTATCTGACTTTTTCTGCTTGACTCGGACATATACTAGTTATTGCAAATAAGGAAAACCATGGGACCTATGTTTCTTTGGGCCTGGCTTACTTCACTTAATATAATTTTTTCCAAGCCTTTCCATTTCCTAACAAATGAGGCAATGCCATTCTTTCTGATGGAGGCATAGAATTCCATTATGTATATATAGCACATTTTCTTGATCCATTCATCTAGTGAGGGGCATCTGGATTGGTTTCATATCTTAAATAATGCTGCAATAAACATAGTCATGCTGGTAGCTTTAGTGTGGTCTTGTTTGTGATCATTTGTGTAAATGCCCAAAAGTGGGATTGCTGGGTCATAGGGGAGCTCTATGTGGAGTTTTTTGAGGAACCTCCATACTGCTTTCCAAAGTGGTTGAACAAGTTTACACTCCCACCAACAATGCAGTAAGGTTCCCTTCTGTCCACATCCCCTCCAGCGTCTGTTGTTATTAGAATTCTTGATTATAGCCATTCTAACTGGGGTGAGGTGGTATCTCAATGTTGTTTTGATTTGCATTTCTTTTATGGCTAGAGAGGTTGAGCATTTCTTCATGTGTCTATTGGCCATACTTCTTTCCTCTTCAGCGAAGTTTCTCTTTAAGTCTTTAGCCCACTTATTTATTGGGCAGTTGTTTCTTTGAAGATTTATTTTGGGGGATTTAATTTTTTGAGTTCCAGGTATATTTTAGATATGAGACCCTTGTCTGTTGTATGACTAGTGAAGATCTTCTCCCAATCCGTGGGCTTTCTATTGATCTTGTGAGCTATGTCCTTTGCCATGCAGAAGCTCTGGAGCTTCATGCAACCCCATTTGTCCAACCTTTCTTTGATTTGTTGTGTTTCTGGTTGTCTATTAAGAAAATTTCGGCCTGTGCCAAGGAGACATAGAGATTCTCCTATTCCATCCTGTAAGGTTTTTAGGGTGTCTGCTTTGACTCCAAGGTCTTTGATCCATTTGGAGTTGATTCTGGTACAGGGTGATATATAAGGATCTAGCTTTAGTTTTCTACAAGTAGTTAACCAATTTTGCCAGCACCTTTTACTGAAGAGGCTGTCTTTCTTCCATTCTATTTTTTTTAGCTCCCTTATCGAAGATTAGGTGGCTATAGGTCTTTAAGTTCATTTCTAGGAATCCAGAGGTTTTGTTTTTTAGTTTTTAAATCAAAACCTGGGTTAAAAGAAATAATCTAGTGTTACTTCCTTATATGTCCAGTTGCAGAAAGCTATCCAAGCCAGTGGCTAGCTCTTCTATTGGAGCAGTAGCTAGCCCTCATCATCTCTTGGAGAATGAGGGAAAACCTCAACAGTATCTCTGCTTTACTTTTTACAGACCAAAAATAACAGTCAATTAATGGCTAGACAGCGGACAAATTAATCATAATAGGCCAGCCTCATCCCATGCAACCGAATAGATGTTGTTCTCGATTGCATTATGCAGCATAAGAATCTCACCTATTATAACAGTAATAAATACTGGAGCAATTTGCATGCTGTTTTATGTACATCAAACCAAAATGTTTATGTCATTGCATTTCTCCCTACAGGAAACAAGACATTCTCAGATCAACTTTAAAGGTCTGTACTATTTATTTTATATTTCTACGGTCTTTATGATTGTCTCCCTTTGGGAGTGCATTCTTGCATTCTTAGGGAAGGGGGATGTGATTAAAACACTATTGTTAAGGGAGCTTCATTTGACTACCACAGGGGTTTAGGACAATGGGAGGGGAGGAATTTTGAAAACAAGCCTTTTGCAATGTTAGTTGTATGATACTTTCAGGGAAAATATATACTTTGCTGCTGTTGATTATTTTGCTAGTGTTTGTATATATTTTGGTGATGTGAACTGGCTGACTAATGAAGTTGAGTGGATTAAGCTTACTTGGGAAAATAATTTGGAGATAATAAACTGAAGATAGCTCAGAAGATGAGAATCACGGTTAAGTCAATGTATAGGCTTATAAATGTCCCTGTTTTCTCCTGCCAGCATCTTCTCTTTATTATCTTGGACAGGAATTTTGCAACTCTATCTTGGGGTGATTTCCCATCTTTCAGAGCCAAGGTATGAATGTGCCTTTACCTCCACAACTTTGGAAAGTATGGACATTTGCTTTAGACTTCTGTTTTAATATTTTATCATTTGAATGCTGCTTGGCCTTATTGTAGTTCTGTTTGTTTTCTTCATGGGATTCAAGTGTCTTCTCTACTTCTTCATATAGGCTATTGTCATTC